TGTGTGTGTATGTGTATGTGTATGTGTGTGTGTGTGTGTTGTATGTGTCTGTGTGCATGTGTACGTGTGTGTGTGTGTATGTGTATGTGCATGTGTGTGTACATGTGTGTATATGTATATGTGTGTGTACATGTGTGCATGTGTACGTGTGTGTGTGTTGTATGTGTGTGTATGTGTGTGCATGTGTGTTTATTTGTATCGCAGTGGCACCATTTCGTACCGGATCACGTCAACTGGGCTGCGAAATTCTTTAAACTATATGTCAACTTGTGTTAATTTCGGTGGACTGAGTGATTCAGTGCGGGGGATCTTCTTGATTTTTATCTTACTGTATTTAATAGTGAGAGTATTTCTAGTTGATGGAATGAAAAAGGAGAGAAAAGAATTATTTCGACGCTCTTTCGCGAAAAAAAAAAGAATCACGGATGAAATTCTTTCGAGACAGTGCAAATAGTACGTCTACTCGATCGTAATTTCTAATGGATAATTAACTCAATGATTAATTAATTATAAAATGTTACAAAAGAATAAGCTGCAAAACAATGGAATAGACATGAACCAATTTTTATTCATCCATTCCACTCGAGATATAGATATTAATTTATAGTATCTTACCACTAAAACGATGAAGAATAAAATATGACAGAGACAGATAGACCTATTTAAACTGTAAAATAACAGGTTAAATAAAATAACAGGCCTATCTCGAAATTGATCATTGATAGTTTCGAGTTTCTACATGCACATTATATCTCATACATATATATTATATATACATATAAATTATGCAGTTCAAAAATATAAAATCTATGAAAAGATAAAAATTGATATTGGATGATTATGGTAAACGATGTAACCATTAAAGTTCAATGCTTCATCATTTCAAGCGTCTTAGTTTACTAGCAAGAAAAATGTTGCTAAAGATTTGTAGATGGGTTATTTAAATTAGCTGGAAATTAGAATGATAGAGCAGAAGCATATAAAGAATGAAATAGAAATATGGAATGGATGAAATGAAGGGATAGTGATTATGAAAATAAAACGATTGAATAAATGAACAGCTTGGAAGGAACAAGCACCAATGGGCATTCATTCATCCACCCATCCGATAACCAAAACTCTCGTACTACTGCCCCCGCTCAATGGTTAGTTGTTAGTCTCCTGATCGATTTGTACACTGCCTACTCGGATAACATTCTTTGCATATTCAATAGTGCTAATTTGCTCCTATAATGGCCACTAGCCTTTATTACATAAGCATTAGCCAATAGATTATGGGCTTCTTTTTATTTACATTTGGCTAGAAGTTTATAATTTTTAACAATATCTTAACCCAATTTCTTCTAAGCTAATAATGCTTTATGTTGAAGTAGTCAATGATAGAACTTAATAAAATGAAATATGACAAGAGAATTCATTGAAATGTGTCGGATAGCTCAAAATAGGACTGCCACACATCTTACAATCATAATTGTCGTTGAAAAAAGTAAAATGAAGCAGTTATACTGTTCGAATTCGGTACATGGCTTGAGTTGCTGATAACATCACTGTAACAGGTAAATTGTACATGATAGTTTTTTTTTTTTCGACAGTATATGATGTATTTATACATTCATCTACTTCCACCCACTTTCATTCCCCGCCCTATATCTGTACCGGACGAGAGATGAGCTACATAAAATGAGCAGACATCTCCGGTAATTTTCAATTTCGAAAACAAGTTTTAATTAGTGATTTCCTGAAAGCTCTTTTCATTAGAAAATAATCTGCCCCTATTTGATATTTTGCGAAAGATATGCTCCATCATTTTGAATGAAAAATCTTCACATTTCTAAATTCTATCACGTTTTTTTTTTGTGCAGAACACCCACTGTGAAATCTTTTCTTTTTGACTGTTTTTCTCTGATACCAATCAGATCAAATGTGTCACATAACAAAACAAAACGTATACTCATTACTTCATCCAATAAATATCATTTTTAATATTGTCTCTGGAAAATGATACGTGTAGTGTTTGAGAATTATTGATATATTAATAAGAAATACGATACATTGGGATAGATAGGTATATCTTAAAGTATATAACATAGGAATAAGCTCAGCTTAGAAATATGATAAACTAGCAGCTCCCGTCATACGTATTTACAGCATTTTTAACTGAAACTCAGCTGCTCGTAAGAAATGATATGATAATTAGAACCGGCAGAAATTATCAGATTCAAACTGTTTACACTTGTTAGAAATTATATAATTCATTTTAGAATGAAATATCATCATTTAAATGTAAAATATCTATCAAATTTCAAATAATTTGATTTCATTTCACTCGATATTTTCATGTTTTACGATTTTTACTGCACAGGTTAAACAATTAAAATGAATGAACAATTATTCCTTAATAAAATGAACTAACTTAAATGAAATTGATGGAGAGAAGATCGAGACAACCGAGATTTATTACATCCGTAATATAAAATGACAAAACAATCTCTCTTTTCTTCCCGGATAACATTCAAAATCCTACAATTCTAGGTTAATTAACATTTTAGGAATGGATCATTTTGTGGTCTTCCCTTGATATTTTATTTCCATCCATCAGCTTAAAACAATTTTGCAGTAAGAATTTTCGAAATATTCTTCTCCGCAATCACTGCGACACTATAAATATCTCATAAATTTATAGAAATGGTAGTTTGCAAAGGAATGTGATCATAAAAAACTTGATAGAATTCATAAAAGTTTCATTTCATTCATGAGCAAAAATTAATGGAAAAATTTATACAGGTAAAGTGCGAAAGCTACGATTAAAGTGTGCGACGAAATGCATGCACGAAAGTTGCAGCGTATGAAATGGACAGCGCAATATAATTAGCAAATTTAGGAGCAGTTTTTCTTCAGAGAGAGAGAGAGAGAGAGAGATAAAGAAAGAAAAAAAAGAGATCAGGAATTTTGCATTTCAATACTTTCATAGAAAATCGTTTTAGTGAGCAAAAAATATTTTTATTTCTTATTAAAAATAAAAATATATGGAATTTCAAAAATAGCCGAATTAGCACTATGACTCTAATATTTGGGTAAGTAATTCTGGTATATTCTGGCACAAATCAGGCTATTACAGATGGTAATAAAGCATAAAGAAAATGATGAAATGTTTAGGTTGAACTTGAACTCCTGCTATAATCCCGTGAAAGTTACAAACTTTACACTCAGTGGGTGCACTTGCATGAAGTGAGATTCAAAAAAGTGAACTTCAACATCAATTTGAAGCAGGATGGAACGAGATAAGAGAATAAATAAATTGAAAATAACTTTAATGATAATTGGTTAATACATCACGACAAAAGTGTCTCAGTATACGTTAGCATCGCTTAGTACGTGAATTCAGTCAACTGGCAGGATCCATTTCCAAAATGATACATGAAAGATTCCAAGTAAGAGAATCGTCGAATTGTCGAAAGATGATAATCATCTAAAACATCATTTAACAAAAGTTAAAATGCAATAAATAAGATTAAAATAAATAGACAAAGTCCTTGGTTTCATGTATTTATCGATGGTGCAAAAGGATTTTGCAATCTAAAACGTTTCAAGAAATCTCGAAACTTGTTAACCACTTGTTAATGTGCTTAAAAGAATAAATAAGCATCGATGCAAAGTAAAGTACAGCTATCTATCGCGGGGACATTTCAATAGCTTTTCAAAGTTTGTAATAATTTCATTTGCGGTATTTCACTAGCTTATCGACCAAAATGATGGAGAAAATTATAAACTTTTTCTTTTCCAACTAAGATCACTTTAGTTTGTTATTAATCTAATCATTTCCCAATTAAATATTCCAGTCTTGGAACATCGATCGATAGTTGGATAGATAAGCAGTCTCCAAGATATACCAGTAATATCAAAAAGTATTATAAGATCTCCATTATCTTTCCCTTATTTTTTATATTTATTAATTCGTTTATTCATATGATAATCAAACGCCAACATATCTATTTCTCTATAGAAATCTAAAAAAAATTGAAATGAGGCGTATCACTATGAAATGCTCGTAAAAGTATTAAAATAGCGAATTATAAGTAGGATATGTGTCAGTACAGATAACTATTTCTGATACATTTGTATAAATTAGTCATTCTTTTCCCGAAAAATATCAAATATCCTGGCAATATTTGGTATTTCTTGAAAAAGAGAAAAAGAACAAGTAAATTTTAAAGGTTAGGATGTGAATATTTGCGAACTCCTGTAATTGAATATTATCCGGAGTTTAACAGAAACAAAAACATGTCGAGTTTCTTCACTCCATATCTGTAACAACTTTCAACAAACAAGAATTCCCCGTACTCCGGAATTATTTCAAATTCCGACATTTGCATTAAAGCTTTCCGCAATTTTTTTCGTTGCAAGAAAAGTACACTGTCGCTCCGCTGCACTCAAATTACGTCACACAACACATCATAAAAGTGTCGCGCTGCACTTTGCAAGTTGGATGCATGCCAAATCCCTATCTTCAGTTCCTCGTTGGGACTCTCTAACGCGAAAGATGTGATGTTGCTGTTGTTGTTGAACTGTTGCAGGATAAGGGAATGCAGTGATAGCATCACTGCTGGTAGCACTGCTGGTAGCATTGGTGGGGTTGCAGTGATTGCAGCATTAGCTGCATTATCGATTAGCAATATGTCTGTCGATGGTCATTTTAGTGCAACCATATCGTGCAAATATCGTGCAATTGGTGTACTCTCCGTGGATGGGCCTTGAATTGCTGATCATAAGTCTTATCTGCCTTCACGACATCGTTCATTTTACATTTTGTTGGGCCTTCTTGCTCTGTTTCACTGTGATGGGCTCATTTCTCTAAGGTAAACAGCACTTGGCCGCATGCTCCCTTTCTTTTTTCTCTTTTTCCTTCCCTTTCTCCCTCTTTCTCTCTCTCTTTAGGCCCATTTTTGTTAATATCTTTTCAGAAATTTGCCTTTACATGGTTACATGCAGAGTGTATACAATTGTGTGCGTGAAGTGTGCTCTATATTTAACAATTTCGATCGATGCATGTTCTCATAATTTCTTCAGACGTTAGTGGAAGTACAGAGCGCAATAGTTCTTGTAGATGTATGGTTTGGAAAAGCGATGCTATTTTGCAATTTTGCATAGCTATTATTCGCTTTTCGCGCGTCTTTTAACATTGTAAGTTTTCATTGCCTCAAATTTGCAGGATACTCTGGCTTTCGTGATCTGCGTGGAATAGCTTCATCGCGTTCCTGCACCTCTTAAAGACGAAGAGATGAGCGGTAACAGCAAGTAGGTTCTCTTGTATTTAGTGAAGTAAAGTTGAAGCAAAATTTCATTGAAAACTGTGAAAATTTTTATTTGTTTTTTTCTTTCCTTCCCAATTTTTGAAATTATTTGAATTGTAAAATCTTAATCAACACATTTAACGCGAAGTGATGATGCTCTTCTCGTATTGGATACCGATATAGCTTCATACTGAAATGACCGATCATTTTTTCAAAAGTGAAATAGAATATCGTCTAATCGTGGATTTCAACTCATTGTCTTATTAGAATTTCGCAATTATTCGTAGGGATTTCTAATCAAAATTGCAAGTACATATGAATGTTTTTAATTATATTTCAAAACTTTTCCAACAAGATTACTTGATATGCTTCAATGTTTTACTCCTTTTTTGATTTTTCATTTTTTCAGCTGGAAAATTTAATGTTCATTGTGGGCCCTCTCTTATATCATATTCTACTGATGCTAGATTATTTTATTAGACAACCATTTATTTTTAATGCTTCCAGTATAATACTTTTAAATATTTACAGTTACTATTCGGAAGAAACTAGAATAATTGCACCGGCAGCTCGTACTAAAGTTGGGACTGCCGCGCCAAAAATCTTTGGCAAAGAGCTCCGAGATTTAGATGATGCTGATCTAGAAGGGCTGCTCTCCAAATTATCACCCGAAGAACTCGAAGATCTCAACAGTGACTTCGATCCTGATGTAAGCTGTTCCTCTTCTTCAGTTATTTGGAAGAGGAAGTACTCTGGATCTAAATAACTTGTACAAATAAATTATTGTTTTATCCAGTGAACTTTAGTGACTTATCATAAACTTTCTGTTGCGCAGTTTAGTTGTTTCTATCGTTTGATCCTGTAGTGTAAACACCCTTTTCGTAGGCAACACATAAGCTTGTTTGTTCAAAGTGCATTTGTATTTTTTGAAACTATTGTTTTTTTAGAATTCCTTACTACCACCATCACAGCGATGTCGCAACCAAACTAGCAAGCAACCAACCGGGCCTTATCAAAGGGATAAACTGTTGTTGTTTCTCGAGGAAAGCGCAAAACAAGAAGAAGACTGGGAGGAATGGGTTCCCTTTAGCCCAGGAATTAAACGAGGTTTGTTACTGAAGTAAACTGAATATGGCAGAAACATTTCTAAAGCTTTTCTGACCAACAAGTTTCGTTTTAAACAGTAAATTCAATGATTTTCAAGCACAGTCAATTTTTTTCACTAGACGAAAATTTATTTTGTTATAGGAAAAATTTATGAACCGAAAGAGGGTGGTGATAAAAAATCCGGTAAAATGGAAATGCCAATAGAACTCGATTTGGATGATGACGAAGACGATTTAGATGGAGCACTGCAGGAGGCACCCGAAAAAGATCTCGTTGATTTAGCTGGTATTCTCGGAATGCATAACTTGCTCAACCAATCTCAATATTACAATGCACTGAAGGTTATTTATGTCATTATTATCGAATGTTATGTATCATTGCATAATCTAATAAATGTTTAATTGTAACTTGGAAACTTTTCATTGTCCTACGTTCACTCGGAATTTATAAATTAAGAATGGTTATTGTTTCGCCTTCGAAATGTTAACCGTTCTTAATGCTGAAATGAATAATGATGTGTTCAATTACGTGTTCACGAGTCGACTCAAAGACCGTGTTAAATAATTTTCCGTATTTTTTTTTCCTCTTTAAGTAAAATCCGATTTTTAAGTAGGACTTTATGTCTACTTAAGCATTTCATGGAAATGAGTTATGTTAATGAGGGGCAGGAATACTTGAACGATCATTATTTTAGTGAGAAATTATTGTTAACAGTTTGTATCCGGCAGTTACTTTTTCATATTTACATATCATGAAGTGAGAAATTATTGTTAACAATTTGTATCTGGCAGTTACTTTTTTTGTTTTCGTGCTGTATTCTTTTGGTTTTTTCTTTGCAGTAGCTTCTTTTTTCGCTGAAAATGAACATTATCTCGTTAATGAGGGGATTAAAACTGTTTTTTTGCTCATGTTACAGGGTAAAAGTCAGGATGAAACAACAGGAACTACGTTTAGTGGTGTTGTTAGGGCTTTTGAAGCGAAGGTTCTTCCGGAAGAACCAGATAATGAAACTGATGTTGATGATTGCATCAAGTATGTTTACCTAACTTGGTTCTTTAAATTTGAAATGTTTGACGTTTTTATAATAAAAGTGTTAGCTTGAAAGTTTATATATGAGTTCGGTATAAATAAGATTGGATTTTGAATTACAGAAAACTTGAAGCAAACGATGAGATGGTGACTGAAGTAAATATCAACAACATGAAACGAATATCAAAAGAGCGTATCAGGGCCCTCATTAAAGCATCCTGCGCTAGCAAACATATTAAAAAGCTATCGATGGCCAATACTGCTATCTCTGATCAAGAAGCTAGAGTAAGAGTGCTGCTTTTTCTCCAACATGCATACATCTTTACAATATTTGTCAGTCTGCAAGCAGTTTAATAAGTGGTGGTGTAATGTAGCATTTGTTAGTTTACACGGCTAATGTTAAATTCTACAAAATATTAGTGTGTCGTATATGTTGACAAAACAAAGCAATAAAAATCATGTTAACAGAATGCAGTTAAACTAGATGGAAAATTAATACCTTGCAGCATTTATACTTTCTTTAACTTTTATCATATTTTTGATCTTTACTTCCTAATAATTTTCATATACCGTAAATAAAATATTTTTTTTATTGATTACTATTCTCGAATCTTTGCAATCGATCTTATGCTGCGTTTTCTCATTCAAAAAAAATGACGACTTAATTGTACTTGTAAATACCTTTAGGGACTGGTTGAATTGTTAGAGACTTCACCATCATTACGTATTTTGAATATTGAATCGAATTTCATAACACCCGAACTATTGGCAAAATTATTACGTGCTACACTTGCCACCCAAAATCTTACCGAATTTCATGCTGAAAATCAGGTATTTATTTATTTTATATTCCAGTTTTTCAGTTTTCATTTTTTATTAATGGTTGTTTTACTGATTGACATATCTTTTTTTCGTGTCACTCATCAAAGTATTCTGCAATAAAATAAAGCTTAGCACCTATCGAACTGTATCGTTTTACACTATAGTCTTCTCATTTTCTGCTTTCAGCGAGCAAGTGTGTTAGGAAATCAAATAGAAATGGACATGATGCTTACTGTAGAAGAAAATGAATCACTGCTTCGCGTTGGTGTATCCTTTCAATCAATGGAAGCACGTCACCGAGTTTCGGAAGCCCTTGAGCGAAATTATGAAAGACGTTGGTTTCATTACCAGTATAAATAAAATTTGCTTTGTGTTTAGTTTTCAAAAGTTTTTTTATAAAGCAGAAAAATTTTGTTTTCAGTGCGACTTCGACGGCTAGGTAAAGAACCGCAAGAATAATGGCATCAGTCCGACTTCGTAAATGGTTCCATCTGGTCGTTTTGATATCTTTTAAAAAGCTTTAGGATGCTGCATCATCTTTAGTATTTTGTCTTATTTCTGAACATCAACGGCCTGGTTAGTGAATGAATTAAACTTAATAATTGGCATTGTAGACTTTGGAATATTAGCATGTGATATGCAATTGTTTCATAGAAAATCAGTTGCATGTCTCTGCAGCTCTAATAGTCCGTTTGTTTCTGATCTGCTTTGATGCACTATTTTCTTGATTAATTTGAATGACGAATGTGAGGCATCAAGTTCTATTCTTGGATCGCATGGCTGAGGTACAAAAAATTGAGAGGGTTTAGGAACTTCGAGGTCCTCGATTATTTTTCTGCCTGTAAACTGACTCCACATTTCGGCTTTGAAACTCTTCCCGAACTTCACATGGTTTAGCCCATCATATTGCTGAATTTGTTATAAATCAGTGACTTGTTTTCCGTGATATCCAATTTTAGAAGCTCCAAGATTAGCTTATACTTGGTCCATAATGTTCTATACTCACACTTTGTTGATCACGCGCTTTATTGAAACAACGGTGGCGGCCCTCGCTTTATTTATTTCGATGAGCTTTTCAGTTTTTTTGAATTGTTTAAATTTGTATGTCGTATGTTTTCTAATTGCTTTTCGCGGTAAAATTTCTGCTTGCTGGTCCCATATTTCCTTTATTGTACTGATAATTTGCAAAGGATTCAAATGGTAAAATTTACCTTCGTGTTATAAATTTGTCAAAAAATCAAGATCCTTTGCTTTTATAAACTAGAAATATTTTTTAATACTTTTTCTTATGGCGAATCATTTTGCAGAAGATGGCGTTAACATGTTTGTCATATTTTTTAGACCAATAGCGAGAGAAAACATTTCCAGGCAAAGATCCCTCCTCCCTACATGTAGAGAAAAATCAAAATCTGTTCACTTTTAGTTTTGCGTGAGTGATCACAACGGGCATAACCTTACATTTATTTGCAACATGTCTCCTGATATGCCACGGGTGATCGACTTTACATTTTTTAATTGTTTTCTCCATACTTTTAAATGTCATGGAATGCTTTCTCACTTCCGTGTTATATATTTGTGTATATACTGATTAACTATATGTATGCATAGTAAAAAAATTGAAAGTGTCAATGGACGAAATTGGAAAATGTACCATCAATATATGGATATAACCGATGAAAACCCTGAATTGCATTTGGTTTTCCTAATTATAGTTACCAAAGACATCTGGTTATACTACCTAGAAAATACATTCTTCGTTTTTGTTAAATATCTTCTGAGTTCATTCATACTTAGGGTTATAGATAATTCCTTTCTAATAGTTGAGAGAATTCGATAGGGTAGAGAAAAAGGAAAGATCGTCAAACTGGCTGTATTCTCGTGATACAAAAGATCAGTAAGTCTTGAAATAATGTTTATGCACAAGGTACAACTTAAGTCCAATTATATATAATAAAATGCAGTGGTCATTATGTTTGTACAACATTGATTGCCGATATTCTCCTCGACAATGTCTAGCCTCTTCCAATCTTCAACATACTGGATCAAGTCCTAACTTCACTGCTAGGTGTATATAGCCTGCTTTATTGTCAAATTTTATCCTCTAACAGCAGCAGTGATTGCTGTGAGGCCAGATTGTCTGTGTAGAAAAAATTGTCCTGAATGCATAAATTCCTATAATCCTTAAAAATTGAACTTATGTGATTATTCTAACGATAACTGATAGGAGGAAGTCGCCGTTTGTTTTGACTTCTAGCAGTCTCAATTTTTCCTCGCTGTAGAGATAAGAAACTTTTTTAAAACTTTAGTAAGGAAGAACGGAGAAGGGAGACGGAATGACAATAAAAAATTTGCTCAAACGCGAATAAAGATTGAAGAGACCAGCAATGCGGGAATGTACTTTTAACGCATTATGCGACTCAGGCATGCTAAAATAGAAGGAACTAAAAAAAATCCTACCATTTAAAGATATCGGGGATTTAAATCTAAATAAATGAGGGATTCCTGATGACCGAAATATGTACTAATTTGAAAGCACAAAAATGCGGCTTTGGAAAGCATTTTTATGTCAAAAGATACATTGTGAAGACCCGCATTTATATGTAAAACAATGATTAATTGTCTCGTCGCAGTGCAGGAGTGATAACAAGGAACAAAAGGATAACTTCCTACTAGACAAGTGAGCATCTCCAACCCGAAAAGAGTGAAGAATTTTTTTTTGGCGTTTGATGGACCGCTATTCGACCGGTATTTTGAGTAGTGTTCTGTTGTGATGCACGTTCTGTTTTCAATTTTATGTCACGGGCCAACGTGAAAAACGCCTCTTCAACATTAATATTGGTTTTCGCCGATGTTTCCATGAATTTCGTACCATATTCTATAGCCAGCTGCAATACAAACATGACCTCTCAGAAATCATCTTAATGGTGAGTCAGTTGTTATGTCGACTCTCTCTTCGTATGTGAACATAGTTAGCCTAGTAGGAATGTTCACAACAATTATTTTGACTGCTTAAGGTGAATACGAGCGCAGGTACCTTCGTGTGCTTCCTCTTTTGGCCCGAAACATTCAGCAAAATAATTACAACTACTCGGTAGCAAACAGAAGATCAACTAACCTGTTCACCGCGCTCTCGTGATACCTGTCTCCTTTCTTCAATATCGCATTTGTTACCGATAATCATTCGATCCACATCCGACGATGCATGTTCTTCTATATTTCGAATCCAATTTTTTATGTTATCGAATGATTTTTCATTTGTTATATCATACACCAACATGATCCCCTTTAAATGACTTTTTTTAAATAATTGTTAATCAGAAATAATGTAATATGAAGCGGTATGATATGAAAAAAGCTTTTGGAAAAATACCAAGTAACCATACCATAGCTCCTCGGTAGTAAGCGGTTGTAATTGTTCGAAAACGTTCCTGACCAGCAGTATCCCTAAAAAAAAGTATTCCATCAGACTCGAATGGAAACAGCATGTATTACTTTCAATTACACAGCAAGGACACCAGGTTAAATAAGTAGACTATGAGGCAGATTTTGAATTAAGAAATCGATATGAAGTAAAGTTTGCCGCTTAGACTTTGAATGAAATCAAAAAAAAAAAGGTACTTATAAGCGGGTGATCTTGATGGTGAACAAAACATTATATAAATAAAATCTACCATATCTGCAGTTTGATTTTCTTTCCGTCCAATTCTATCGTTCGTATCTTGAAATCAATACCTTAAATACTATTCTTTAATGACTCAGTAGTGTACAATATTATTCTTTGTAAATTCATAAAAAGCATAGAGAAACAGTTACCGATAGTGGAGATAAATGAATTATTGAAGGAATCGTCCGAAAATCGAAACAGCACACATGTTTTTCCGACACCAGAATCTCCAATAAGAAGTAGCTTAAAAAAGGAAATATAATTTAAAATACCTCAATCACGATAATTTAAAATTCGATTCATCCTCATAAAACGAGAATTTATCTATAGTCATCTAAAACCAGACATGAACATAACATGAATGGAAAATTAGAATTTTCACCTCATCAAGGCTTCTTAATCTCGACTCATATCCATAAGTGTTATCAATGGAACACTGGAGTTGAGCTATATTAACAGCTTTTTGAAAGGATTCTATTCAACCATGAACTTATCCCGATACTCTAATTAATTAATCTCTGGATTAAATCTCAATGATGATAACAGCAGCAAACCTTGAACAGATAATCGTAGGATTTGGCCATCTGTATCAGCTAACTCTCTCAATTTATCTGCAAATTAATGATATTTTCTACTCCTTAAAATATTAATCGTAAGTTTTTGTAAACATTCTATAACGCAATCATGAATAACAGTATTGCGCGATGAGGAATAATACTATACTCATAAGCCAATCTTATTTTTCTAATCTCTAAAATTTAAATAAGACGAGCCAACAAGGAGAGCAAAGAAACGAAGAGATTAACGTATCATACCGATGACAGCTAGGCTCCAATACACTGACATCCAACCTCATTTATGACAAACGATTCTAATGCCAGCCTACTAACTTAACACTTGTAATAGCGCCAAGATCTCACCATTATTAGCAATTTGGATCCCAACCTTCTTTAAGCTTCTCTTAACGCATAGCTCTTATTTCTTTGCATTCATCTTCGTCTCACTGAAAAAAAAGTAAATGAACTTTCATTCTCTCATTTTTTAAAACTAATTTCAAGTTCTTGAGAAATCTCTCAAGTAAACACATGCTCCTCCTCATTTTTAACTAAACCTCACTTCTCTTCCATTCATAAATACATTATTTGCAAGTCTCAAATGATAGTCTTATGACGATAACGAGCAGACGTGATTGCTTCGAAGATGTCTGCTTTTTCAAAGTTGAAAGATCGGTTCAAACATCAAACGGAGAGATGAGAATTGCAAAATCTCTCTCTCTCTCTCTCTCTCTCTCTCTCTCTCTCTCTATGCAAACGCATCAAGTTTATATCATTCTCTGTTAGAATTTTGTTTTATGTATGAGACTTATTTTCTCGCTTATTAGGAAAAATTGATAATTCGATGATGCATTTATTTTCAATCAATTTGTTTATTACATCATAATAACACTATTATTTATGTGGAGAGTAAGTGCAGTTCATTATATAACTAACTGAAATCATAAAATCGATCTAAAAATTGGTACTATGGGCATCATGTATCGTACCTGACATATCGTAATGAAGAAGATAATGAATGTAAATAGTCTAAAACTCATTCGAGACTATTTACATTCATCATTTTCTTTACATTGTCAATATGATAATGTTATGCATACCATACTTTCAATAATACCAATTGCACTGAGGGACGTAACTGTTATGTAGTGGCTACTTTGGCCGAATAATATTCTCCGTTTGAAGAATATATAATTCGACCAGTAACTCTTCATGTATGTGTGTGTGTGTGTGTGTGT